CACAGAATTTCCGAGAACTCCAGGTGCCCTAAACTTGCAGCCTTGTTGGTGACATATTTGTGCATAGGGACACCAGAGGGAGCCTGAGTCTCTCAGTCGGGAGAGAGACCCAGGTCTCCCGTGCCCCGCCCCCTGTGAGCTCCCCCATAGAGAGGACCCAGTGCTCTGAGCCTGAGTGGATCCCTCCGCATCCCCAGTGGCCGCAGGTGGACACACAGGTTTCAGCCACCTCTGTGCTCGCTGAGAGGAGCCACGGTGTTTCCCAGAGCCCAGGGCCTTATACCAACTTCACTGTGAGGCCGTATCGTGAAAATCCCCTTAGATGATTTCCTTGCTAGATATTTTCTCCTAAAACAATGATTTTAAGCATAAAACACATTTTAATTAAGATTAAGTATGTTCTCCAGAAAGAGTAGAGTTGCTCCCTCAGGCCTCCCAACACAAGGATAGCAGCTCATCCTTCACCCTAATGTCTGACGCCAGTGTCTCCTGCACCATATTAGAGCTGAATGTGGGGGTGCAGGCCTGCATTCCCAGCTGCTGGGGGGTGGGTGAATCTGGAGGATGGTGAGCTGGGCCAGCCTGGGCAAGAGAGTAAGACCCTGCCTCAAAAAATAATAAAGTTAGATTGTGACTAACAAAACCTTCAAGTTGCCCGCATCTCAGAACAAGGCAAGTCCTTGCAAGGGTCTGTGAGGCTCTGAGTGACCTGGATCCCAGCTCTTCCCTGAACCTACCTGCACCTCCTTCCATTCTATTTCACCCACAATGGTCCCTTACATTCCTGCAACCAGAAAGCAAGCTGTCTCCGGGCCTTTGCACCTGTTGCTCCCAAGACCATGCTTGACCCCCATGCCACCTTTACAGCAAGGCCTGCCCTGGCTGCAGCCTTCTCAAAGTCACAGGCTCGGCAGGCTCCATTCCTCTCCCCTGTCTCATGCTTCTCACCACTTATTACTGTATGCGGCATTACTTCCTTATTTTGATTATGTTCATCTTCCTCCCCAAGAGCACAAGCCCCGCACGGGGAGAGAGCTGTGCTGTTTCCTTTGCTGGCGCATACACATGCCTGGCAGATGGGAGCAGTAAACATTCACTGAATACAGATTCATCCACGGGAGAGACACATGATATCCACAGTGAAGACGGAAACCTCTTCATCAAAAGAAAGCGACTTTGTACACAAACAGCGGAAGGAAATGAGCCACATTTAAAAACTCCAACAGACAAGGCGAGGGCTGGGAGATGGACCAGTCTTTCTTCTGGTTTGCTTCTTCTACCATAAAAGCAAGGTGTGGGTAGCTGTTCTCCAAGTGTTTATGCTGTGAGGACCAAGGCTGCTCCCTGTAGAATCAGCTGAATGAGAGTTGAACCCAGACCGTGGGGACACTGATCTGCATCATGCTGACTGGCATCAGGCATCGTGCACCCCTGGAGTGCACACAGCTCTCGGCACGCAGAGGTTGGGAGCCTTTCCAGCTGGAGGGTCTGTCATTCACAAGGCCAGCTTCATTGAGTCCTGGGTTCTTTCCCCCTGACCAGATGCTAAGCTCTTAGAGGGCTTCTGAGACACCATGTGGCTATGGCAGCTAGTGTCCCTGAAGACCTGTTGATATCTGGATACATGCGAGACTGGGAAGGTGGGCAGCCTTCCAGGTGGTGGTGATGATGATCTGTTGTGGTGACTTCTCTGTCCTTAGGCCCACATGGCTGGACACTTGCTCAAACTGGGCAGTTTTTCCTAGGGATCGTCTTTCCCAATCGAACCTCCTTCCCTTTGAAAACATTCCCTTTCCCAGAAAGGGATAATGCACCTAAATTCTCCCATAATCCCAGTGACTCTGGAGGCTCAGGCAGGAGGATGGCAAGTTCTAGGCCAGCCTGGGCAACTTTGTGTCTCAAAATGAAAGATTAAAAGAGCTGGGGATGAAGCTCACTGGTAAAGCACCCCGGGACTAAAAACAAACACGAAACGAACAATAAACACCTAAACTCTGACACAAGTGCCACCTGCGGGTTTGGCTAATAACGTTCTGTCAGTGCCAACTTTCTAGGCTTGGCCAAGCTAATGGTTCTGTGGCTTGCTTCTGTGAGGAAACAGGAGAAGGTATATGGATGGGAAAGCGCTGTATCATTTTTGCAATTTCTTATAAGTCTATAATTTCTTAAAGTGAAAAAGATTAAATATAAAAGAAACTTCTCACATGTCGGAGGAGCGAGGGAGCTTGGTGGAGAGAAGAAGAGGGACGGGGGAGAGATGAAGGGAAGGAGAGGATGACGGGATTCCACACACAGAGAGATTCCATTTGACAAAGTCCCCAATGGACCATTAGTGCAGTTAAATTAAGCCAGGCCCTACAATGTCTTTACTGTCCATAACTTCTGTTTTTTAAGTAGTGATATTACATCTTCCGAAGGAGAACAGATTGAGACACGTCTTCCAACAATTTCACCTCCACTGAGTCCCCACCTGCCTGAGACTCAAATCCTTTCATCTGCACATGTGTCTGGGGCCCTTTTGTGCTTGGAGTTTCTAATGAGTGAATCGCTCTGGAGCGTTTAAGAACTCTGCTTCCAGTTGACGTGCCGCATCTTGGACAGGAGGTCAGGATAACCTCCTCTCCCAAGGACCCTGGTCTGTGAATAGAAAGATCCAGGGGAGCAACCCCCGCAGTGTGACCAAGCCCGGAGTCACACACCCTCTGCTACCCTCTGTGCTCTGAAAGCTCCCATCATTAAGGACAGGCCTGGTGCGATGGGAGTCAACACGGCTTTAAGGGTGACTGGTGGTGGTTTTGTGCAGAGGGCGTGTCCTTTGCATCTAAAATAGAATTCAATGCTCATCTAAACTTCAGCAGATCATCACAGCCAACATTTTTATGTGCCAGACACTGTTATAAGTACCTTACAAGCAAATATTAGCCCATCAAATTGTCCCAATGCTATTCGAGGAGGCCCTAGAGCTCAATCTGTTTTTAAGATAAAGAAACAGAGGCATGAGGGGGTTGGTAACTTGCCAAGTCACACAGTTGTCAGTGGGAGAGACAGGACAAGACAGAGGACGCTGGCTGCAGGACTGACGTTCTCCTCCACCACACCTGGCTTTGTGATGGACAGGACTGCCACAGCTCCTCCCTTCTGAGGGCAGCCGAAGGCCCTGGACCACAGACCCAAGGATGCAGGTGGCCACACTCACAGTCACCCTGGGGGATGACAGCCTGCACTTCCCCAAGACAGAAGTGTGGGGACACAAATGACCCTGCAGTATTACCTCTCCTTAGCGGTGCCTTCGGTCCCCATCTCCCTGTCTCCAAGTTCAAGAGCCAGGGCTGGGTGCCATCTGAAGTCAGCAGGGTGAAGGACTTACTGAGGACTAACCTCAGGCTCCCAGGTGGGCATTTCTCCCTACCCAAGGCCAGAGGAGCCAAACCCCATGCTGAGCATCCTGGCCACAGTCACAAGGTCATGACATCTTCAGGAAGTCTCCAGCGCACTGAGGCCAGGTCCCTTCCACACTGTGGCATGCTCCTTGCTGAAGACGGGAGGATTACATGCAAATGACAGGAATCCGGTGGTGAGACCTTAAATCTCAGAAAAAGCATTTGATTTCATAATGCCTCTGAGAAGATGTTGCAAGAGTCCTTCAATCACATCCAGAAACACTGGCAAGTGAGGATCCACAAAACTCAACACAGCAAGAAAGAGCCAGCAGCACAGGTCTGGGTTCCCTCCCTCACACCATAGATGGATAGATATACAGATGGATGGATGGATAGATAAATGGATGGATAGATGGATAGATGAATGGATGGATGGATGGATGGATGGATAGATAGTTGGTTAAAACAAGTGGAAAAAAATGAAAGAAAAGTCACAAGGGTGTTGACAAGGAAGAAACTTCTGGAAAAAAATTATTTGAATCTGAAGGTAATAAATACCTTATGGTACTTACAGAAATCTGAACATTTCTTATAAAAAAGCCAAACTGACACTAACTATCCTCATGGCCACAATACCAAAGGAAAAGAAACTGAAGTGCCCATCACTTGCTATCACTCTGTTTCACAAATCTTTTCCCAAACAACTCACTTGACATGTGATTATTTTATTCCAAAAAGAACCAAAGCACAGCTGCAGTATAACCCAAGTCTTTCTTTAATATCACAGAAAAAGAAAAACCTTTTTTGTTAATTTTCGTTTTTAAAACGAGTCTCAAATGAACATATTTTTCCTGATCATGAATACCCCTCCACGTTTGAGGATCTGCTGGGCAGCTTTTCCTTCATGTCGTTACCCCAGGAAGCAAGTGCTCTCGAACCAACACTTTGAGACTTTCCAGAGTGACAGCAGCTAGCACAGCTTGGATTGGTGGATTGAGCCAGCCAAGGTGACAACCTGCCAGGTGTCCTGGGTTCTTTTTAATTTAGGAATTCCTTGGCCTGTCTGTGTGTAGAGCACCTTGCTGCCTAGTTTTCTGTTGGATGTGCTCCTGAAGTGGCGCCAAGCTGACCCTGGGAACTGAGGCTTTCCCAGCCTCTAGCCAGTAATATATGAGCTCACCATATTCAAGACAGTGAGCATCACCCCCAGCTCTTCTCCTGCACATGCAAGCCAGACATGATAGCCCCCAGTTCCTGCTCTGATATGCAACCCAAACTGCAGATCAGCACACTTACGAGTAAAGCCAAAGCCACAGAAACACACTAATCCCCCTGCCCAACTCCGATGTAAACCCGAGGCGCACAGAGGCTGGTTACTTCCACCCTGCTTCTGCAGGGTATGTTTCTCCCCCTCCCCTCTGTTGGGTCCCTCAGGATACACGGCGCAGGAGGAGCTGTTGAGTGACCCCATGGGCAGATGTAGGACTCAGCTTCTACTGCTAAGTGAAAGGGTCCTGATAAGAAGCAAAAAGCATTCTTCCTGAACATCTGTGCCCAGGCATGGAGTGGGACCCCACCTTAGACATACCAAAGATGGCCAGGGGCCAGTGTGGCACCTACCTCAGGATGAAGAAATCCATGGTAGAGTTGCTGGAGATGGTGATGTAGGCAGTGACCACGTCTCCCTGCTTTACAGGCCGGGAGGGCAGCCAGATGACCACATTGGCGTCCAGGCGCAGCTCGCGGAGCTGGGCACTGTCCTGGGTGCGGTACAGGCCCACGGTGCCAATCCTCTGCAGGTGTGAGGTTGCTCCCTGCAGACCCCCCTTCCCTGGGCGAATGGCATTGCCCTTCCTGACGTCATCCCCGGTGCAGTCCCCTCGCTCGCTCCCAGGCTGCACGGTGTAGTAGAGCTCCACAGGACTCCCCTCAGGCTGCTCCACAGGCTTCCGCCTCCCCACCACCATCAGGGGGCTAAACCAGCTGGCTGGGAACTCCAGCTCGGCCACGCACAGCCCCAGGTCCCCGCCCAGCTGGCAGCTGCCCCTCACCTCCCGGGTCTCCCGGAAAGCGAAGACCCGCAGGCAGGGCAGCCTCTCCACTGCCTGATGGTCGTCCCAGTCTCTGCCCACGATGTAGAAGAGGATCTGCACCTTGGGCCGGTTCAGGTAGATCTTGTCCCGCAGGATGTAGGCCTTCAGTTTCCAGTTGAAAGTAAACTTGTTGGTTGGGCCTAAAAAATTTGAGGTTGACATGAAGTCCAGAGGCACAACCTTCTCTGCAGAATAAGGCCCATAGCTGGCGTTCAGCACTGGGGGCTGCCTGGCTCTGTACACGAAGAAGGACTCCACCCGGGACTGCAGGCTGGCATTGCCCAGCGGGTCCTGGCTGGCCTCCTTCAGGAAGAAGGAGCTCTCTGCTCTGAGGATGTGGTAGCTCACAGGCAGGTAGGGCGGCAGTGAGGAGAATCTCTGAATGCTGTCTGTGACCCCGCGACCTTCTATCACTAAAAGAGGGGAAAAAAAGGAAAGAAAAAGACAAGATTAACAGGCTGCCCAGAGGTTCCCAGGTCTCTGAGCAACTCAGAAATGAAGGCCGGAATTCAGAAGTCCACTTGGCCAGAATGTTTATATTCTTTCTAGAAATAGCCAGTAAATGACTCTAGAGGGCCCACAAATTATGCACTCCTATTGGATGGATATAGTAAAATGCAGAGTCTTGGGCAGTGATGGTCAATGATTGGTGGTCATCTCCCATGGTACAGCCCAGTCGAAAGCTGCAAACCACCTGTGAGATCTACTCTACACGAGATTAAGTTGTATTTAAGGGCTCTGGGACATGAATAGGAAAACCGCCCAATGGAATAGAATGAGGTTCATAAATAAGTCCAAGAACATCTGAAGCTTAGTGTGTGATAAGGATGTCATCTCAAATATGAATACAAGTACATGGGACCACTGGGTAGCCATCTGGGAAAAAATAAAGGTAGATCTATACCTCTTAGCACACATAGGAATAAGCTTCAAATGTACCAGTGATTTGAATGAAAGCAAATGAAGTATTTCAAGTGGTAAATAAAACACGAGAATGATCTCCTCAATAATCTAAGTGTAGGAAAGGTTTTTTAATTATAACTCAAAATCCACATGCTTTTAGTAAATTACAAATTTGCCTATATGATTTAAAATATTTGCATTTAAATATCATAGACAAAGGCAAAAGAAAGCTGATAAATCGGGAGAAAATTATTTTCAGTGTATATATTACAGATAAAGGGCTAATATCCCTAATTGAAAAAAAAACACACAAAAAAACTGAGAAACAGCAAATAGACAATTCACCAAAAAATACACTAAAATTTCCCTTACATATATGAAAATTACCTATCCTAACTTAATTAGCAAATACAAATTAAAACTACAAACCAGGACCATTCCCCCTATCAGATTGGCAGATAAGGGCACCAGGAGGCAGCAGAGACTCAAGTGGCTTGCTTCTGGCCAAGAAAAGGGAGTCAACTCTTTCAGAAGGCAATTGGCAATGTCATGACATACACATTTTCCTTTGACTCAGTGACCCCGATTCCTCAAAATCCACCCTGAAGATACAAGGAAGGCATACACAAGGAGCGCACAGGGTCCTTCAATGCAGCCTTGTTTCCAAAAGAGACAGGTTTTACAACTATGTTACATTTTCCGTAGACACATTCCCATGTAGAAAAACCTCAGAATAAACTTGGGTACATCCACGCATGGCAGCACTTCAGCTGCAAAAAGAGGAGCAAGGTCTGTATGGACCACTGTGGAGAGAGCTGCAGAACAGGTTTGTATGAACCACTGGGGAGAAAATTCCAGAACATCACACACAGTGAAAAAGCCAAGTGCAAGAGATGGGTGCTGCCTTTTGTGTAACAAAAAAAAAAAAAAAAAAGGAGGCAATAAAACACACATGTGTCTGTTTATTTGTGTAAAACCACACAGAAAGAAGGGAAAACTCAGCCCCCATGGGATTGGTTGTCAAGAGGGGCAGGATGGGAACAGGGCTGAAGGAAAGGGGGCCAAGGACAGGAAAAGGGGCAGGACAGGAGAGCATAGTTCCTTGTGTGGTTCTGATGTTCCAGTCATGTTAACATTTTGCATATGATATTAATAATCACAACAAGGATGAACAAAAGCTCCAAATTAACTGTGGACAAGAACAGATAAACTTAATTCTGTCTCAAAGGAATCCAGAAACCAGACTGAAGAAGGGTGGGGAAGATCAAACCCAAGCAAGCTGGACACACATTTTTGGCTCTGTATCCCAAGGCTAAAGACAAAGAAGAACCGTTTTGTTTTACGGTATAGTTAGAAAACTTGTTTTGGGCAGAAGAATGGATTAGCAATTCTAAAGCTGCTTTCTGTGCAGTGTAGGATTGAGTGAATGAGAAATATGTAGAGAATATAGGGCCCGGGAGGGTGCCTGCAGTATGTCAGAAGGAGGCTGGGGGCAGAGCAGGTTCTTGGTGATTTGAGCATCCAGATAAATGATGATGGTACAGGATTATTAACCACTCAATGAAGTAAGAACCCCTGAGTTGTTATCAATAAAATAAAGTTAGATGGGAGGGAACGTTTTCCCTTGTGGCCTGATCCAAACTGGTGACAGCATTCACAGCACTGACAGATTGAGGCAAGAATCGTGAATGGATACTAAAACTGGGTGAGAGTTTCATGAGTAAAAGGATATTCAGTTCCTTCCAGCAGGAGAGCCCCAAGTGGGTCACTAAGGAATAGTCATAGGTTTCAGGAGAAACAGGGCAGGAAGCACTTGAACCAAGGGACCAGATTTCACACCAGCAGTAATGGAAGAAATAGACATCTTTCTCCCCTCACATGCACCCAGGAGAAGGCAGAATCTATTCCCCTGTGTTCCTGCAAATATTCACACTAAAAGTTGCATAATTTACTGTTGAGAGCCACAGCCGAAGGGGCCCCAGAAAACTTCCAGCTGCCAGCAAACTTCCAGCTGCCAGCTGATGATTGGCTCACCGCAGCCCCAGCAAACTTCCAGCTGCCAGTTGATGATTGGCTCACAGCGGCCCCAGCAAACTTCTAGCTGCCAGATGATTGACTCCTCTGCGGTATGGTGATGCTCATTGGCCTGTTTCCCTGCCCTTTCAGACCACGGAGCTGCTCATTGGGTGACTTTTTTTGGCTCCGCCCATGCGACCCAGCCAATCAGCCTCAAGAGCAGGAGGAGTGGGGGGGGGTTGAGAGGCTTGTGGGAAGCCAGTGGTGGCAGTTGGGCTCTGAGGGAATTCCTGTAGAGCTCCTGTGGTGCTGCGTGTGTGTTCTAAAAATAAGGTTCGTTTCTGCTTGATAAGTGGCTCCTGAATTTTTCCCAGCCAGACTGTGGCAATTTACATCTAATGATGAGGAAAGTTCTGAGAGACATAATTGAAATTAACGGGCCTCTCATCAAAATGCCCAGGCCAAGAGCAACAAGGAGTGAGTGGGCAAATGTCTCAGAGACGTGGAACCCAAGGGAACATGGAGCAATTTTCTTTTCCCATCAAGAGAATTTTTAGAACAAGTGGCAAAATTTGTTGTCTCCAAAATATTTAGTAAAATTGGATCAAAGTCACTTTCCTCATTTTGATAACTGCAAAAGTTGTACAAAAGGCTATTTGTATTTTTAATTTATTATTTTAAAATATTATTAAAAATTATTATTAAAAAAATCATTAAATTTTTTTTAATGGTACTCGGGATTGAACCCATGGGTGCTTTACCACTGAGCAACTTCCCCAGACCTTTTTATTGTATTTTTGACGGGGTCTTGCTAAGTTGCCCAGGCTGGCCTCAAACTTGCAGTCCTCCTGCCTCAACATCCTGAATCTCTACTATCACAAGTGTATGCCGCCACCCCTGGCTAAGGCTATCTTTATTTTTCAGAAATACATTCAGAAATATTTAGTAATAAAGTGATGTGTCAACAATGCATTGTCAAATAACTTGGGAGGTAGAGGAAACAACTCATGTAAAAGTTAATATGATAAAAATTTTCTTATTTAAGGAATCTGGGAAAAAAGATATATGGAATTCTTTTTACTATTCTTGCAACTTTTCCTTAAGTCTCAGACTGACAACATAAAAAAAAATGCTCAGTGGAATAAATAATATGTAATCAATCAATCAATCAATCAATAAAATGTCATCTGCAGGTTAAATCAAAATCTACTGGGGGCTGGGAGGTTCCCTCACTGAGGCAGGGAAGAGCAAGAGCCACCCTTAATGTCACCTGTCACTTCTCCCACCTGTTGTGTCTGCATTCATCCCAGCTACCAACAGCAATAAGCCAGCTAAACTCCCTGTGGAGCATTACATTGTTAGGGGACTACTAGGGACTCCCTGCACCCAGGACTCAAGAACTCACAGCACTGCAAGCCCATCTCCTTACCCTGGTCTTCCAAAGTCCCAGGAAACTCAAGACAGGCTTGGTACATGACTGACAGAGAAGCAAGGCACTCTTTCCAACTGAAACTCTTCCAGCTCACGCCAGCACATGCCCCCAGCATCTGGGACTGCCTTGCTCACTGTCCTCTGAATGTGTCCCTAATCCTTTCCTGCAGGGACACTGGTGGTACATCAAAGCTGGCTTTGGTGCTGCAGCCAAACGAACTTGGGTTGTCGAGGTGGCTCTTCAAAGCCACACTGCTCTTCTGGTTCTCTGCCAGGAGGCCCTGTTCTGAGGTGGCCCACAGCAAGGGCACCTTAGCCCCCCCTCTCTGTCCTTCAGATGGCCCAGCCCTTCCACCTCCACACTCATTTCAGCACCAGCTTGGAACACACTCAAAAGCCCCTGCCAAGGTGCAGCGTTCCAGAAAGAGCTCAGGATCTATCTCTGAGAATCCACGACGATCTAAATAACTCGGGGAATTTTGTAACATCCAGCAGGCTAATTGCCACATTTAATGCTTTTATTTTGAAGTATTCATCTCTGTCCAAAAAAAGCTCTTAAAACTTGAAGTGCAGAGATTTAGAGACTCATTTTCTGGGGAGGGGAGTGGGCCAAGGACTCCCGAAGCTGCAGAATACAGGACAGAAGGCACCTGGTGTCGGGAGCCGTCCTCAGGAGCACTTGTCAGCAAGCTCCCCTACCTCACTCTCCCTGCACCTAAGAGCCGGACGGGGACTTTCCTCTACTTTTTTTTTCCCCCTTTTAACTAAAAACAAATTCTGAATGGTGAACCTTCTGTTCTTGAGCAGATGCTGTTTAGTCTCTGCAGACTGGAGTGTCTGCCTCCTCTTGTGGGCTTCATCCATTATTTGAAGAGTCCATTTTTTCCCCTTGGGGTGGAACAGAAAGCATACAGCTTCTATCTTTCCACTGAATCTAGTTCTGAATTCTCCTGGGCCATGAGATTTACCTGAGCCCAGATGTGGTCAGGGAAGGAGTAGGGTCTTGGACTGTGGCCAAGGGCAAGGAGTTTGGCCACAGTCAGATCCAGGCTTGATCTACTCCCC